ATATTAAGAGGAATCTAGGGCTCGGGTTATACCACTCAACTTCATCACAAATCACAATTAGCATGCAACAATCAAGGTAATTAATGGGATAAATTAGGGGAAGTCATCTAAGGCACCCAACTACTCTCTCAAGATAGAGGGATTACTTGAATCATGAAGACAACCTACTCTCGTGGTCACATAGCATAAAACAAGTGTTAAAGCATAATCACGATGACATAAACATTTCCTTGACCGGTAATTCCTATTCTCATGGCATTTCGGGTCAATCAAGCATAAGGGAGCTAACTCAAGTTCATCTCTCGATCCTTCGTTGAGAAAGCTTGGATAAATAGTTCAAGCAATGGCCAAATACAAGAACTAAGCAATTAAACCACTTAAGCTCAACTAATTAACATCCCACAACAACCAATTAGCACATGCAACAAGTAATTAGTGACTACATTGAGGGTTTTACCCAAACCCTAGAATTTAGACTACTCACAATCCATGGAGGTTAAAGCAATTAGAGGTTTCAAGCAATTCATGAACAAGTTCAAACTAAGGATTAAGCTAATTAACAATCTAAGCATGCAAGAATTAACAAATAATTGACAACAAAGTAAAGAGAAGTAGAAAAGATGAGTAAGAAATTGTTACTATGAAGCTTCAAAGTGAGCAACAATGGCGGACTTTGTCTTCTACAATGATTGAATTTGAATATTTTCAAGCTAATAATTAAGAACTAACTGATGATTTGAGAATTTAATGTTCTAAGACTACAAACTAAGAGGAAAGCTCTAAAAAACTGCCTAGTTCGTACAAATGAGCTCAAAGGGGGTATTTATAAGACCCCCAAATAAAAAGGACGGAGAAAACAAGAATCGGGCTTGACTGCAGGTCTGCACGGACGTGCCAGATTCGGCACAGACGTGCAAAGATAAGCACGGTCGTGCCAGATTTGGCACGGACGTGCAGAGGGGTCAGAAATGAGGCAGAACTTACTGCCTAGAATCGAGCAGGTCCGCACGGTCGTGCAGATATTGGCACGGACGTGCAGATACATCTGCACGGACGTGCCAAATTAAGCACGGCCGTGCAGGCCTTGGCACAATGTTCTAAGTTTCTGGAGCACTCCTGCACGGACGTGCAAGGTCTGGCACGACCGTGCAGCCTCTTCTGCACGGACGTGCCAAATTAAGCACGGTCGTGCAAGCCTTGGCAGAATATTGAAACTTTCTGGGACCTCCTGCATGGTCGTGCAAGGTCTGGCACGTCCGCGCAGGGTCTTCTAAGCCCTTTTCCCCATTTTTTCTTCTATATTGCTCCTTTCCTTGGCTTCTTTCAACCATCTTCTTACTTCTAACCTCGGCTTTGTATCCATGGGCTCCATTTGGTCGGTTTTTTTTTTAACCTAGAATCTCAACAAAAACACCAACAACCCGTGAAGCATAGGATACATAAAAATTGCATAATAATAGAGTAAAAGTGAACCAAAACACAAATTTATCAAGTAAACTAGGTTCAAAAACACCCTAATATCATAACAAATAGCAAGTTATCATTATGCATTGCACAAATGGGATTTTGTACAAGAAAACATCAATAAAACATCTTTTATTAACATACTCTATTTACAAATATTTACAAGTGTTTAGAAGTAGTACTTTTTTAAGTTATCTACAATTCAAGTTCTGGCTAGCTGCCTGCCGTCTGGAGTTTCCAGGCGGTAGGTGCCGCCTCTAACTTCTTCAAAAATCCGGTACGGGCCTTCCTAATTGGGGGTTAGCTTTCCTTGCTCATTGGCCCTTCCGATGGCCTCCATTTTCCGTAACACAAAGTCCCCCACTTTCAAAGGCCATTTGTGCACTCTTCTGTTGTAGGCTCTCGTCATTCTCAAACGGTATATCTCATGACGTAAGGCGGCATTGCCCCTGCGCTCCGGGATTGAATCCAATGCTAGACACATGGCCTCCCAATTGGCCTCTTCATCATAGAGCATGATTCAAAGTGTTGGCTCGTAATGTCAATAGGCAGAACGACTTCAGTGCCGTATGTCATGAGAAATGGGGTTTCACCAATTGCCCTTTTTTCAGTTGTTCTGATGGCCCATAGGACATGAGGCAACTCATCTGCCCATAGACCGCCAGCTCTTTCAATTTTCTTTTTAATGCCGTCTGAGATGAGCTTGTTGAAGGCTTCAACTTGGCCGTTTGCTTGGGGACGACCGACTGATGCAAAAAAATGTAAGATCCCTTGATCTCCCAACCAGCTCTTGAGGGTAGGCGTTTCAAACTGAGGGCCATTGTCAAAGACCATAGACATAGGTACCCCAAACCGGGTGATGATGTTTCTCCAAATGAAGGAGATGACATCCTTTGTCTTATTGCCCTTGACCGCCTCTGCCTCAACCCATTTGGTGAAATAATCTACAGCAACCAGGATGTACCTCCGTCCGCCTGTAGCAGGCGTATATGGACCAAGGATGTCCATGCCCTATTTTGTAAATGGAACCGGGCTGTCAATGGCCGTCAAATCAGTGGTCGGGCGGTGTATGAGTTTGCCAAATTTTTGACACTTGTCACACTTATTCACCATTTCTATGGCGTCTGCATCAAGAGTACGTGGGCCAAAAATAGCCCTGCCGCCTAGCCCTTTTTGCTAGAGTTCTGCCGCCTATATGTGATGCACAAAAGCCTGAGTGCAGATCCTCTACTTCTTTCCCCCTTTCAGGGATAACACATTTCAGCAGCGGCTGGAGGTAACCCTTCCTAAAGAGTTCTCCATTATGGATCTCCATTATATTCATATTTTTCCTCTTCCGGTGACTTGCAAATTACGGCTGCACCACAACCGTTCATAGTAGAGCTCCCGTCTGCGTATAACTTCCAAACTTGATCAACATTTTCCGGCTGAGTCGGCCTTGTCATTTCGACAGTGAAGTCGGCGAACGCCTGACCCTTCACTGCCTTTTTTGGTTCAAAAGTTATTTCTAGACTTTTCATTTCAATGGCCCATTTGAGCATTCAGCCGGATGACTCCAAAGTTGTCATTGGCCGCTTGAGGGGTTGGTCTGTGTAGACCACCACCGGATGTGCCAAGAAGTAAGGTTTTAACTTCTTAATTGCCATGAAAAGAGCAAGGCCAAAATTTTCAACCAAGGGGTACCGTAGCTCAGCATTCCGAAGTACATGGCTAATGAAATATACCGGGAGCTGAATGCCGTCTCTTTCAGCTAGGAGAACGGCGTTGAGGGCATGATCTGAAACGGCCAAATACATATAAAGAACCTCTCCTGCTAGAGGACTAACCAGCCGTGGCAATGAGTGGAGGTGCTCTTTCAATTTCTGGAATGCCGCCTCAGCATTTCCCCCCCATTCGAATCTAGTCTTTTTTTTTTGCCTAGAAAAAGTAGAGGCACTTGTCACCTGACCGACTGAGGAATCTCCCCAATGCCGCTAGACAACCGGTAAGTTTTTAAACTTCCTTGACAGTGCGGGTTGACTTCATGTCAATTACCGCCTGTACCTTTTTTGGGTTGGCCTCTATCCCCCTTTGATCAATCAAAAATCCGAGAAACTTCCCAGACTCAACACCAAAGACACACTTCTTGGGATTAAGAATGACCTTATGCCGCCTGAGGGTGGTGAAGGTCTCTCGGAGGTCAGCAAGGTGATCCGTTTGTAGCTTAGATTTTACTATCATGTCATTAATGTACGCTTCTACATTCCTCCCAATTTGATTAATGAAGACTGTATTAATCATTCGTTGGAAAGTAGCAGGCGCATTCTTCAGCCCAAACGACATCGCCGTATAACAGAATAACCCTTGATCAGTGACGAATGTCGTCTTCTCTTGATCTTTTTTCCACAAGGGTATCTGATGGAAGCCTGAGTAGGCGTCCATGAAGCTCATCAAGGCATGACCGGCTGTGAAATCGACCAGACTATCGATCTTTGGAATGGAGCGCGCCTCATATGCAAGAATTTCTTCCCAAATACTATCCAGTGTGTCATTGTTGTAGGACAATACAAAGGTAATGAAATCTTTATTCCACGGATTAACCTTCGTCCTTGTGTTTCATCTAGATATCCTTTTCAATTTGAAAGGAAACAGTTCCATCTAAAGTTGAGCTTTGCCATGACAAACCCTAAATTGAGTTTCTGTTTATCTACCTCGCCCTTGCTTTTCACATGGACAGCTATATGTTGCTCTCTCACGAGCAAAGAAACAAATTGATGTCACTGTCTTTTCTACTATGCCTCCACAAGAATTCCCTCCATCTTCTATTAAGAATGTTATTTGTTATGAAGTTTTAAGATTAGATGGGATCTGTTAGAAATGTCATTGAAAGCACTTGTGTTTTGTATTTTGCCTTATTATAGGTGGTGATGTTATTACTGTTCATGTTCTTTTGGGCTTAATTAGTATTTGCAGTGATACACATCTTTTATATATAATTTAATGTGCTCCTACAAGAAAGCCTGATATATTCATATTCTGATTTTGAATTGTGTAGTTAATAAAGATTCAAAAGCAATAGAAACATAGTACTTTATCACATATAACATTTAAATATTACATAAATAGCTGCTTGATATCAACTTTACAAATATATACCATTAGTTTAGTTCAACCCACTACAATTAAAGTAGAAATCATATGAAGAATAAGTTGATAAAAGCTCGATCAAAAAAACAAAAATAATATCACATTTATGATATTCAATTTACACAAGATAGAAAATAATATTATGCAATATCAAATATATGGCTTTCTATATAAGGAAATTAGGATACATAGAGTCTATAACCTAAGTCAACTTTAAGCCTGCTATAAGTAGTAAATAAAGGCATAAAATCTTCTGAAAGTACAAGTATGATCTAATGAGCTCCACAAGTATGTGATATATACCTTCAATCTTAAGAAATGGAAAAAGATAAAACTCTATGCTCTAGATACTTGTAATCCACTGTTCATCTCACATGTGCATTTCCTTGTCCTTTTCCTCATGTATACAGCTTATATATACTAAACCTCACTATCCATCCTTATCATCCAAGACAAAAAAAAACCTCTCAAACCATCAACTACTGCTACATATTGAAGGTACAACTTTTACTCTTCCTTTTAGTGATATAATTTAAATTATATTCTTCTCATAATTGTGCTTTAAATCTTTTGCTTGTTTACATATTACAATAGGTTTAGAAGTGTATATACTATTTACTAATTTCTGCTTATAAATCACAAAAATGATTTACATAATAAAGCTATGTTCTCATATATTATGTTATTTATATAATAAAATATGTAGATTCATTTGAATGTTCTCTGTTTTGCTAGAATTCATAATAATTATCAAGTTATTATGAAGTATAAATGCAAAATCTATTCTCATATATATACATGTGTAAATTCTGTAGGCTCACAATCATGGAACAAGGGTATGTATATCTGAATGAGTTGAACAGCAACAGCAAGAATTACAATGTGAAAGTTAGAGTTGTAGAAAAATCAAGGCCAAAAACTTCTTCCAAGAAAGTAGTACCGTTTTAGAATTTTCTACTCACTGATGAAAAGGTACTTTTCTCTTCACAATTGACTATATGCTTCCTATACTAATATGCTAAAGTTAGTTACCAGAGTTACATCTCAGGAAAGTTTGCAATATTTGATTAGCTGAAAATTGCAGGGAAACAATATGAAGGCTGCATTGTTTGGGGAACAAGTTGACAGTTTCAATGAAGCGATAGTCTATAATGGACAATATATCATTTCAAATGCTCTAATCAAGCTCATAGAAGAACGGTGGAGAAACAATTCAGATGAGCTTCCTTTCCAAGTGACTTTTGGAGGACAGACTGTGGTCCAGAGAGTGAATTCTGAAGGAACAATAGATGGACCAATGTTTCAGTCTATACAATCTTTTTCTCGCATTTTAATGCCAGGAACTAAATATGGTAACCAGTATCTTACCTTCTTCTTTATATTCCACATTAAAAATTTATTTAGTGATCCATCATTAGCACTAAAAATAATATATGTATATTGTAGATGTTCTAGGCATTATTCTTTTTGTAGAAGATAAAGTTCGTATTATCAATGCTAATCAAGGCCGAGAATTCCATGTTAGAGAAATTGTTATAACTGATCAAACGTAAGTGTATACATAACCTTAACTTTATAGATCTCTATTCATAGGAGCTCATTTGAAGCTAGATTTCAAATTGTGTTTGTATTTCCAGCATGGACCAACCTCTTATTATAATACTTGGAATGATTTAGCTGATAATGCCTGTGACGCTATTAGTTTATATGCTAAAACCTTTGATGTGATTAGCTTCACTACTTTAAGACCATCTGTGCATAAAGGTATGCATAACTAAAAGTATTAATATCAATTTCAAAATTCCTCAACAACATTAAATATTTATCTACAAAAACTAACTTCTATATATGCTTTACAAGGATTCTCTTTATCTACTGGTATGTCTACTGAAATCATATATGATCCTAAAGGAGATAAAGCCGAAATTCTCCGTGAATGGCATGTATACAAAAACATTATATGATTTGATATCTCTTACAAACAAAATATGATAAATATTAACGAGATTTCTACATAGGGCAAGGTTTCATACTCAACAGCTCTTACACCGACAAGCAAAGGTACTGCAGGTGCATTTTGCACCTACAGATGAAACACCTATAGACATTTATAGTGTCGGAACAAAAAAAAGTAAAGTCTACTCTACCATTAGGTTCAGATTATCACTTCACTTTTTCCTATTAAACACACTTATTAACATGTAAATCTACTTATAATGCAGCCATGTAATGTACTTCAAGAAGAGCGCCATTGTTACGAGTAACAATATCGCAACCTGATTTAAAAGATGTTGTTACTTATATTGGGTGTTTAGCTTGTGGGAAACGCATAGATATTCCTGTCGGCACATAATTCAATTGTGCCAACTACAAGAAAAAGGATAGCATTTCTACATATCGGTAAAAGTTTGGAATTAAAACTTTTCAATGTAGCAGCACAACTATATATCACTAATATGGTCAATTACTCTTCATGTTGCAGAGTTACATTCAAATTTGATGCCACAGATCACTCATGAACAATGACTTTCACAACTTTTACGGCTGATACAAAAAAATTATTTGGATTATCTGCCCAAGAAATTCATTTGATCAAAAACTCTGTAAGCATTTTTTATATGTTCATAGTGACTTCCATGCCTTTAAAATTTAGCAAGTTCCCATCTACTTCTGTTTAATGATACAGTTTCAACATTAATAATGGTTACACAGGAAAATGTTCAAATGTTCGATTCAATTCAGCAGCAGATTTATAACAGCCATGTTCTGGTACAAGTAGGTCCAATAACAACCCTCTCAAGAAACAATATTCTTCAATGGTGTTTGAAAGGCATAAAAGTAGAAGCGAGCAACACAAAACTAGTGATAGCAGTTCCATGGCAACATCTTCAGAGCTTAGAAATACAGAATCACATTCACAAGATCATGGTGCTGATAAAATATATGCAAGTAACTTTTCTTTTGGTCAGAAAGTGTTAAGATCAGAACCTGAAGTACACACTACAGGTTCTGGAATGGTTAAGGCAACAGATTATCAAACAGCTGATGAAATAGCCACAGTTAAATCATTGCTGGAGTTACCACAACAACCACCTAAGAGAAGTTGTACTGAAGCACATTTAACCAAAATCAAAGATGGTGCAAAAGATTGGAATCCTATAATCTCTGGTAACTTTGCTCAGACAGATTTTACAGTGCGTGGTCACTTAGCTTTAGATGTGAGCAAGCAGGTTGGTTTGAGCTTTGATAAACCAACTCCTGTTATAAATCAACAAGTTGCTGCAAGTTCTAGTCCTGTTGAAACATTCATTGTTTCTATGAAATAAGAACGAACAATAAAAAAATTTGCTGAAGTTATTTCCACAATAGCAACACCAAAAAAACGCTCTTTGACTGCTCTGTTTGCAACGACAGAAGCTATAGATCCAGCACAGACAAGTGACTCATAGATCAAAAACCAACCTAACATTGAAGAAGCTATTGATTCCTCCACACTTAAAGAACATATTGCTCACATAACCTCTCCTACAGCATCAACTAATTAAGTAACACCACGGGTTCTTTAAGCTTAGAAAGACATATGAAAGTAGAATTAGTACTTTAAGAAAGAACTCCTTGACCCTTTTTCATGCGAACAATATTAGTCTCAAACCCATTTTGTCATGCATGATTTTTAAAATGAAAAAACTATAAGAGTGCTGCCTATTCATACATGTTACTATCTTAGCTAAGTAAGGGTTGATGGACCTTTAAGCTACACTAGACACATTGATATTTTTGCTTTTGTGTACCTAAAAATATATAAGTAACTAATATATTTTGTTTATCTACCTAGAAGTGGTTAAGATAATACATCTGCTTCTATGGTTTAAAGCAAAAGAAAAATTGTATTGCTTATCTCTTAATGAAATGATATTAGCTTATATTAATACTGCTTGTTATAGTTTGCGATTGCTGATCAGTTGTATACACAATTTACCTAATTCACACACATAACTATCTTCGAGTATTTTTTATATAATAAAACATATTTGTAGAGAATCTTATGCTTCTGATAAAATTCCAGTACAAAACCATTTTACCTTCATTCAAGATGTTGAAAGGTAACTATAGATTTTAAAGGCAAATTCAAAAGATTATACAATTTAGAAAATTGCCAAGGTGAACTATAGATGTTAACAAAGAACCAAACAGCAAGCTTGAACTTCTTGTCATATAAAGCAAAAGTACTACAAATATGTATATATACTTGAAGTCATACAGGAATACATTTGAATTTATTTAAGGTCATATAATGTATGTAGAAAACAATTTATGCCGTGTACAAGTTAAATTTACGGTTTTCCCCAATGGAGTATAAACAAAGCAAATAATTATATATTCGTTGTGTCACTTCTAAACTTGTATCAGTAATATATCCACCTAAGAGAACTTAATAGAGTACATAATGACAGGTACAAGTTATATATAAATATTTTAACCCCAAAGCTATATCTAACAAAACCAATTCCCGTATAATTGCAAGCTTTACTACAAAAATGGAAGGTCATTAATTTATATTAACAAAAAAGCAATACTATAGCTAAGCAAACTTAATCTTTCTTTTTTTCAACATTTCACAAAATCACAGACTCAAACAGTATAAAGTATGGGCTGTGGTACAATTATGCTTGTTCTAAAAGTTAACCAATAAAAGAAATTAAATTTCTTTCTGCAAAACACTCTCCTATAAAAATCAACTATAATTAGCAACAAAGAAAAGTACGTTCAAGAAAGGTCCACCACATCTTTGTTTATAACAATTATAGCTAGAGTGTAAAAGTAAATAAAGAATAGTATCTATAAATATAGACCATCCATTCACCTTCATTCTCAACTGATATACATACTTCACTGTCAAATGTGTTCCTTTGCAAAAGTCATTTCTTTTTGATTCAATATTATTATACTCAAAGCAAAGCGAAACCTACTATTTACACACTCTACAAATCTAGGTAATTTGCTACACTCTACAATCTGTTTCAATATAATAGATGCTACTTGAATATTGTAGTTTTTCTTTGTTTTTTTGAGATAAATATTGTTGTTGTTTCTTGATTTGTGTCTTCAATTAGTTAGCAATTTTTAATGCTAATAATCCACTATCTAACAAAAACTTTGACAATTGAATCTAGGGTTAAAAATGAAGCTAGAATTGATGTATATTGCAAAACTAAATCCTAAAACTAAAGAGTACATAATCCAAGTCAAAGTAGTAGCCATTGAAAACCGACATCTATCTTTCAGTGATGTTACTCTCTACCAGACACTCCTATTTGCTGATGAAAAGGTATATTTTGTACTTATTAGGCCTATCCACAATCTATACTCATAAATATAGTTTTTTGCTCATCAATTTAATATATAGCTTTCCCTTTCCTTATGAATATAGACACATAAATGCTATCCCATCCACTTATATACCAGCATATATGTTACTTTGGCAAAAAAAAAAAAAAAAAAAAAATCAGGTCCTGATTGTATACCATACTAACTTATATGATGTGTATCCTTCAATTTAATTTAAATTTTTAACCATACTATTTTAAATATCAAGAGAAAAGAAACCTTATAATTATGTACATAATGATTATAAAAATGACTTATCTACTGTAACACAAAATAATAAATTAAAGTGAAAATTCAAAGTATTTCCATATACATACTGTTATATAAGTGAAAAATCAATATGATCTCTATATAAGAAAATGCTTAGTTTTATATAATTATTTATGCAAAATGTAAGATAATGCTCTATTTCAACATTGCTATTTTTATCAAACATGTCTAATTTATATTCATATAGCATATACATTTTTCTAACACATAGACTCATCATTTTTGTTAAATAGGGAGCTTTGATACATGGTCGTTTGATTGAAGATGAAATACAAACTATTGGACCAAAATTTTCAATGAATAGGCTCTATGAAATTAGCAATACTCCCGTGAAACTGATGCCAAAACATTTGGAGATTGCTATTACAAAAATTTCATACGAACTAACTATTGGAGCACCAGCTTTGATTCATCCAATATGTCCAATAAGTAGTCATGCTCAACCTGATTTTGCTAAAATATCTTCAATTGCTACAGCTCATTTTCTAGATGAAATATGTGGTATGGTAAATTATTCTTTTCATAGAGCTTTGTTGATACCCTATGTGTGATTTAACATCAATTTATTGCAGAACTGAAACTAGTAGCCACCTTTACAGAAGATATTTGTGACGATTCTACATATGGTTTATCAAACTAATACACTTATAAAGCCTAAGAAAATACTAATAAGATAACCAATAACATTTGCATCCTATTTCTAGACGTGTTAGGCATAGTGTTATTTGTAGAAGAAGAAGCTCGGCTGGTTGACTCATTTTATGGTCAGCAGGACTATGTTAGAGAGGTCATTATAACAGACCAAACGTAAGGCTATTTTCATTATCTTTCACATTAACATCATTATACAATTCAATAGCCTAGGTAGAAGCGATCTAATCTCTATTCTGTTTTGATAGAAATACACAACCTATAATTGTTAATATGTGGAATCATCTTGCTGGGAGTACATGCGACACTTTGAACGTGTGGGCTGAAAAGTTCATAGTAGTTGGATTCACATAAGTTAAACCCAGCAGCTTACAAGGTTAGTATTGCCTATTAAACAATGAGTACACTGTATAGCATTGCAAATAGCTAATTACCATTTTTTCCTTATAGGGTTTTCTTTATCTACTGGAATGTGCACTAAAATTATCTACAATCCAGAGGGTGATAGAGCCAATGTTCTGCGTGAATGATATTTAGGCTACACTAAGTAACTTCTGAAATATATTCCACTTTATGTAACCTATTCTAACACAATATCAATACCACAGGGCAAAGCTTACACAGTTGTTATTAGATCGGCAGGACAGAATTTTACAAGTTCGTTATCCTCAAAAGCACCAAGGAACTGTCACAATTCAATACTTGAAGGAATAGAAGGTTTATTGATTAAACTATACATCCATACATTACATACATGCAGTTCCTTTTCTTTTATAGATCAAACTTCAGTCTAATCATCTAACCAAATTGACTGTGGTAATTTATCACAGCCACAAAATGCATTACAATATAAAAGGTATTGGATACCTGCAACTATACAATCTACAACATTAGACCAGCAGGTTATATACTTATGCTGCTTCCAATGTGGAAAACCCACAAATTATCCAGAAGGAAGACACTTGCATGCAGAAAATGCTACACACGAGAGACATTGTCTTGTTTTAGGCAAATTTAACTCTTACTACAACTAATTGCATATAATTTTGTTAATTATAATTACTCTTTCTTTTTTTTTTTTCTGTGTATTCAAACATTTGATGCAGAGTTGCGTTTACTTTTGACGCTGTTGACACTACTGACAGCATCTCCTTCACAACATTGAACAATGAAACAAAGAAAATCTTTGGAATGAAGGCAGATCAGCTCTGTGCTATGAAGAAAAATGTAAGTTTTTTGTTTCAATTAATCAATATGTAGATTAAATGAGAAATACATTTACTGCAAAAAGGTTTTGTACCCTGTTTCATTCCAAATACTCACAGTAATACTAATATTATCACAGCAAGACTTAATGTCTTTTACCATTCAACAAATGAAGATCAATTCAAAACTGTTCCATTTCAAAGTTGGACCGACACCGGCCTTGACTGCTAGCAACACAGTCAAATGGTCACTAGAATCAGTTGCCATTACAGATATCAATAACCACGAAGACATAATCTCTAACAAAACACCATTCCCTAATTGGTCGACGCATAAACAAATGCGAACATCACAGAAGAGAAAGCAGCAGCAGATGCTCAATGAAACTAACACTATGTTAAACAACATCTCTTCTCCTGAACAAGAGAACACCATAGCAGTTGCTGATGCTACAACAGAAGAAGAAGAACATAGCCAAGAAACAGGAAAATTTGAAGCACCAGTTCCACACCATGAAATATGAAATGCAACTCTTGCAAGCTTGGGTGAGAATCCCTTTTGCTAGAATATATATTCAGCTTAGAAATAGCAATATATAAATGCTGCATTTTACTTATTTTACAGCACTCTAGGTTTAGAGACTATTAAGGGCAATGTATGTCGTTGCTGCATTTTGCTTATTTTGTAGACTTAAACTTTAAATAGCCTACTAGAAAGAATTGATGTTAATAGATTGTAGGCCTTTTGAAAGGTTGTGAAGAAACACAAGTGCTAATTGGTGTTCCTACATTACACTTTATCTATAGATAGATCAGATTAAACTACCTAAGTAATTAGTTTCTGTAAACCTAGGGTAAATGTTTTGATGCTTTTCAATGAACATGTAGCGTAGATAGTACATGTTCTTATGAAAAACATATTTCATATATATTTTGGATGAAGTTATATGTACTAAATCTATCTTTATAAAATAGAAAAGGCATTCTACTTTACTTTGCTGCTTCAACTTTGCAAAGCATCTTTACTTCTAAAATTGAATAATCTTTATGTATAAAGCATTGTATCAATCAAAACAGGTTTTTAAAACACTATACAAAAATAAAACACTTAATCAAAGACCAACTATATAAATAGGTCATAAAACCTTTCATTATACAAAGCAGAACTAAAGTTACATCTTAGCAACAGAGTGAATTTAAGGACACCTTAATCACTAGATTCAATAAGCAAAATAAACTACAGAGATTCTATCACAAACTACATAGCCTACAACAGTAATATCTGTAGCAAACTAAGCATTACCTTCATACATATCTTGATTGTTTCTATATTTAGGAGACAAAATTAATTCTGGTACAACTTCAACTAGATGGCCATCATCATATTGAACATCCCCACCAATATAGCCTTCATTACAATCTTCTGCATCCGATTGAGTTACTATGACCTCATTTTCAGAAAAAGGCATCTTTGCAGCTTCACTGCTTATAGAATACCATCCATCTTCATCTTTGTCTCTTCTTCAACATCATTTTTCAACAATTGTAAATATAAAATCATTTCATGTGAAACCTCAGCTATATAACTAATGAAGCTACAATAAAAGTTTTTTTGACAGACATATACATATATATTCATTAGTCCTTCCTAAAACTAATTACTTATCACTCATATATAATCACAAATACATCAACTAATTCTTCCATAATCTTTCTCTAATTACCAAATGATCAATACTAAATAACTAATCCCGATAACTTGGGGAATCGCGCGCAACGCACGCGGATCCACAACTAGTAATAATAAATAATTGGATTTTTTTAACGTAAACAGACAAACCTTTGACCGGTTCTCCCATATTGGACAAACCTATAAATCTGCCCATATTGGACAGAAGTTTACCATTTTTCGCCCAAAATGGACCAAGCAAGTCACCCTACCTGTTATACCAAGTAAAAGTCCACTTGTCATTAAATCATTGGTCAATATTTTTTTTTTAAATTTCCCTTTCCTCCTTATCCCTTTTCCCTTTCCCTTTCCTTCCTCCCTCCATTAATTCCGACCAAGCTGCCACCCCCTCCACCACCATCTCCTCCCCTAGAACTGGCTACCCTCACCTACGACCAGTCACCCCGCCCACAACCAGCCATCCTCAACCTTCAATGGCAACTTCATCATGATCACCACCACCAGACCTCAACCCGAAACCCCAACCCCACCATACCTCCTCCTCAAACTCCCAACCATACCCCATCTCACCTGACATGAAACCCCCTAAACCCCTAAAATCGACCACCTTGAAACCCTAGACTACCCCATGAAACCCCTTTGAACCCGACCACCCAGCCACAGTGAAACCCCCTAAACTCGAAACCCAGTCACCCACGAAATCCTCCCCCTGTTGTGTTTCCCCTCTCGCGTCACCCTTTTTTTCGTAGCCTGAAATTTGCTGATGAAATTGAGTGAATTGCTGCTAAAATTGATACTTTTGGTGTCGATTTGGGCTGCTATTTTGGTGCGTATTTGGTGGTGTTCGGTTTGGTTATTGTTGCGTGATGATGGCGAGCAGGGGATAGACATGGTTGGCGGGGCAGGGCAGGTGGCTGGGGGACGGAGGAAGTAGTTGAGGTGTCTGGTGGCTAGTTTCAGGTGGTGGATTTTTAGGGGGCTGGTGACTGCTTGTTTCGGGTGGTGTATTTTCAGGGGCTAGTGGTTGGTTTTGGGTGTTGAATTTTCAGGGGGTATGCTGGTTTTGTGGTGGTGGCTGGTTTCATTTGAACGTGGGTATGGTGGTTTGAGTGGTGGGTATTTTCGAGGGTGGTGAGGGTCAGCTACGTTGTGGTTTGGTAGCTTAGGTTGGCGGCTTATCCTGTGATTATGGTGGAGTTGCCATTGAAGTTTTTATTTAATTTTTTATTTATTTATTTATTTATTTATTTTTTTTTTATATATTTTATTAACTTCCCAGAGGTCAACATGGGTAATGTTGACTTGAATAACCGGTTGCCTATAAACTCAGTCCATTTTGGACGAAAAATGGTAAACTTCTTTCCAATATGGGCAGATTTATAGGTTTATTCAATATGGGAGAACTGGTCAAAAATTTGTCTGTTTACATTAAAAAATCCTAAATAATTTCATGACCAAGATATCTTAGTCATCTAATGGCCTAGCTCTGACACTGGAAGGCCAGCTGCTAAAACAAGGTCTTCCAATTCTTATAAGGCGCCTTCTCTGTCAGAAAAAATTCCAATAACCCGCCTTCTCTCTCATAAAAATTTCAATAACCCGCCTTCTCCATTTTCGCTGAATTTCAGCTGCTAACTCTCCTCCATTGTTGCTAACTCTCTTCCAGCCCTCTCCTCCGTTGCTTCCAACTCTCCTCCAGCCCTGTTCTCCATGTACGAAACCCTAATTTTGTAGGACGAAACCCTAAACGAAGTCTTATTCTGAATCCCCCATTGAAGTGTCTTCTACACACCATTGATGCATGCAAATGACGTCGTCTCTTTCTCCTCTCCTCTCCTCTCCATTGAAGTCTTATTCTGAATCCTCCATTGAATTGAAGTATCAATTTCACAATCTAGGTAAATTCTGTTTTTTTTCTTTAAAATCATCGAGTATCAATTTGGGTTAGTAATCATCGACTATAAATTTCACAATCATTGGGTTATACGGACGAATTAGTTCATAAGTGTTTCATTTCAGTAGCACCACTTTAATTTCTTTTTAGGTTCTCTCTGCAATCAGACCGACGAATTCTCAGTAATACTTACCAATTTCCAGACTTCACTGGTAATTTTCTTTTTCCTATCTCTCATATCGTTATGTTTTTGTCATTCGATTTCTTAGCTTTGTTAAGTTATCGTCGTCGTCCAACATTTTAGGCCCAAAATTTTCCGGTTGAATTCTCGGATCTGATAGTCGAAATATATGATTATGACTTGTATTTGTGATTTAAAATCGAATTGTTAACTTTCGATCTTCATCCTTTCGCTAGATTATTATTTAATCAGAAGAAGTAGCTAAATGTTAATGTATGTGGGTGTTTTTCAAAGTTTGTTGATTTGTTGAGGCGTCAATTACACTCGATGATGATACATGTATTGGTTTGGTGATTTAATTATATATTTTGATGTTTATTTGATACAGAATGAGAATAAAATTATGGTTGGTTAATTTTGGAGACCACCAAATCACATTGTTGAAGCTTGGGGTTTTGGCTTTCAGTACAAATTATTCATTTTTTTTAGTAGAATGTCTCTGTAGTTTGTTGTATATTTGTGTATCCTTATGTTTGTTGTTGAATAATGATTGTATAGAATGGAGGTACATATGTGTTTTCCCATTTCCTAGCAATTTTTCGTATAATTATTATATATATATTAATGTATCTAATGTTATATTTCCATGTATTAGTGCGCACAACAACCAAGAGATATTGATTCCGGATACTATGTGATGAGATACATGTATGAAATCATTTCTACATACCGTGAATGCAAGGGAAATTTGAAAGAGGTCAGTTAACTTGCCCCTTTTAATGAATATATGTTGGCAGTATGGTGCAAACAATCTCATATGTTTTTGTCTATGTTGTGCTGTTATCTTTCTCGATTGTTACTTGCTTTACTTTGTTGATTGTCTTGCATCTTGGTGGAATGTGGCTGTTGCTTGAAGTGCTTTGCTTTGTTGATTGTCTTTCTTCCTCCCTTTCCCCTCAGCTGTTCTGTGTCTCAAAGGGAGTTTTACTAAGTGTGGTTGTTTCTCCAATTTCTCTAGCTTTCCCTCATCATTCTCGTGACTGACAACTACCCTTTCTAGTGATTATGCATTTCTGTAATTGTCATAACAGACTGCTGCTAGCAGTCTGAACCCAAACCCGAACCTAAAGAGATTACAATATTGACATAATACCACAGTAGCATCAAAATCAGCAGAAATTTAACTAACCTGGGGAAAAAGAACAGAACTTAATACCATTGTGTTGTTGGGATCAAGATGGCAGTTGGCCAAAAAGATCACTTAATTGTTTCGGAGTGCATCAAGGACTCGTTTGATGCCCAAATGGAAGCTCTGAATGCGATTTAAGCCCTTGCTGCTATAGTTCCTGAAGTTGTGCTTGATCTGCCCATCTTTTGTCTTCCATGCTATTTGAATCTCTTGTAATATATTAAGTTTTTTGGCTGTTGTTTTAGGTATGACTGCACTAGCTAGGTAATATGTTGGCCACTACAGGTTACTTTGTTGAGCTTGCTTGCTCTGATCTAATATAATATAGCCCTTTTGATGGGTTTTCTCAAAAAAAAAAGAAAGAAAAACAACCTGTCCATAAGCTCCCACCTAACCCTTGTTCGTCTGCTATGTAACGAACCACTAGTAATAACAGCTACTATTAATCAACTAAGGAAAGAAAGAAATGAATTTGAGGGAAGAAAGGTGGGATTTTTCATTTATTCAAGCAAGTTTCTTACAAGGGCAGCTTGAGGCTGCTACTCTCTTAAGGGTGACTTGAGGCCACGAGTCTCTAGGATTTCATTACACAATAATCAGCTACGTAGCTCTACCCCTTTCTCCCCCTGTTTATATGTACACTCAGCCAATGGCTGTCAAAAAGGATCCCACCTAATCATTTGTCTGATATGCACCATTTGGCTGCTGTATGACTGCATATGACTGCTGCCCTGTTCCTTGTGCTGCTCCACCACCCTTGCCCTTCAAGGCTCCCTTTTCTCGTCTGGTATATGTGATTAGCCCACGTGATGGCTGATCATTGGCTGGTGCATTTGTGATCGTTGCATGCTACTGAGGTATGTGGCTGCTCGTGCATGTGATGATGCCTTGTTGTTGCGTGATCCCAATGTGTGTTACAAAGTATTAATCAAATTTAAATTTCTAAAAAGTTCATGACACTGTAGTATGTATATTATGTATTTACTTTGACTAACATTTAGCCTAATTTCTAATTATTTTTTTAAGGTGTATTTGGGAAGAGATGCATCATACAATGATGGTGAACTCAATGAAATTCGGGAGCAATGGTCCAGGTTCTTTAGAACTAAATATTTATTGAAAGATTAATCTTAGTTTAATTTAGATTTTTTAGATGGAAATGTGTACTCAACTCTTAGTATTTGAGATTTTTTTGGGGGATTGTGAAGATAAATGGTTTGATGTATGATTATCGCGAGACGTATTGTAATTTGACAGGTTGATGATTGATTATTATCCCCAAATTGATTGGGTGGATTAGTTCAAATTACAAAGGAAATTCTGTCATATTTTATTAAAAAAATTTACTGTTTCTTAATTATTAGTTTTGTGATGGCTAAGCTAATTGTTATTATATCTATGGTGGTTCACGTGTGGTTTAATTATTTTTTTGCAATTTAAAAAAAAATATAAATATATTTGCAACTGGCCTAGTTTAATGCCACCTGCAAATAAGCATTATTATTAGCAGCGGGCTTTAAACTACGCTTGTTGCGAATAACACGTTAATGTATTTTAAATAAATATTATTCGCAACTGGCCTAGTTGAATGCCAGCTGAAAATAATCATTAGCGGGCGAAGGACTAGGCCAGTTGCGAATAAAACTCTTTTACATACATTTAAACAAGCAGTATTCGCAACTGGCCTAGTTTAATGCCAGTTCCAAATAATAATTATTAGCAACGGGCTAAAACACAACCAATTGCGAATAATTCGTTTTTACAACTAAAATGAGGAGTATTTGCAACGGGCCATTAAATACGCTAGTTGCGAATAATGATTATTAGCAACAAACAAGCGCGAGTTGCAAATAATATTCTCATTAGTAGCCCCCGCAATAGCAGCCCCATGCGTCATTTGCTAAAAGCCACTTTTTGCCAGTTGTTAATAGTGTTTTTTCCACTAGTGTGTGAGACATGAAAGTAGTCTTTTATATTCTATATCCATGGAATCTCTAGCATAACAAAGTTCTTGAATAAGTTTATTAAGCTCATCAGAGATTAAAGTTTCATCTGGATATGACATTGGCGGAAATTGTTTAAGGCTATGGGTAGTACGTTGAAGCAATTTTTCAATTGTAGCTAAAGTGTGATATTTCAATTCATCTTCACTTTTTTGTATGTCTAATAATTTAAAAAAATAAAATTAGTATGTAAAAGTTGAATTTGTAATAATTTTTTTATTTCAAGTAATTTTTCTAACATTATTTTATTGCAATAAAGTAATAAACTAAGGATAATACTCTAGAATTGTACGGCAGAGTATTATGTGATGCTTTACAGCTTGTATATATACTTTAAGTATTAATGGAATTTAGTGGGGAATGCTATCCTTTTTTCTCATATTTATAGTACTTTTCTATGGTATGAAGTGAAAAATATAATTAGACTACTGTTACGAAAGGATTATTATTGGTAATGTATCTGGTTATGATGATGATATTAAGAAAGATAGCATGTTATGTAATGTTCGTATTTTTCTCATGTCAAAAGATCGTGTAATACTATTGCTCATCTTGTAGCTAAATGGGACACGGGTGTTGCTTCGGAACTTGTTCGTTTGGGTTCATTTCCCCAAAGTATCATAACTTTGGCGGAATTGGATTTAGATTAATTTTTTTAACAATAATTACTATATTTCCATTAAAAAAATTTAGTTGGTGTACAATGATCTTTTCTAACAACCTTTAAAATAATCTTAAATATTTTCCAATTCACCTAGCCAAAATAAGAAGAAAATTCAGATCCTAACTAAGCCCAAACAACACAAATCCTACTTCTACTTGGATTGGGAAACAAAATCCCTTCTTATAAAAAAACCCTTAAACCCACTCCTTAATTCCTCACAAAAACCCATAAAGCATCCCCTCAACTCACGCATACTACTACTATTAATACTATTGTTTGCCTTATAGGCGCTGTTGCGAGAGATAGCAGGGGTGAGATCCTATTTACAGGCATGAAAAAATATAGAGGTCAGTGGGACGTGAAGATAGCAGAGGCTATTGCAATGCAATATGGGGTTGAGCTCGCTATTCGGTTGGGATTTGAGAAGATCTGGCTTGAGAGTGATGCCCTTGGAGTTGTACAACGGGTAAATGAACACAGGCGAGGCTACAATTATCTCCATATGGTTATTGACCGTATCATTTCTTTGAGTTCTTTTTTCTCTTTCTTTAAATGTAGTCCTGTTAAACGCGGAGGTAATACTGTAGCACACTTACTTGTTAGATCATGTTTCTCCGGATCCCCGGAACATGTATGTTTTGCCCCTTTCCCGGAAGGTATTATAAGCCTTGCGGAATTGGACTTATCTTAATGAAGTTCAATCGGTTTTTCTCAAAGAAAAAAAAAAATACTATTGTTTGCCTCTTCTTTCCTCTACATTCACGACCAAGAAAGAAAAAAAGTTCTTGCTGCTGTCTTTATGCTAGGGGTGTTCATATCTGGTTGGATACTCGGATCTTACTAGGCCCATGACCCGACCCGGGGTCATTGGGTACCCGAATTTATAACTTACCAAAATAAAATATTGCCGTATTTCATAGTTTTAGTACTTATTACCGAGAACTACGTATAAAACTCATTATACAAAAATGTAATCAATTACAAAACCAAAAAAAAAAAAAAAAAAAAAAAAGAAAAAAAAAGAACTGAATTAACGATTTACAATCTTCCACTTTAAACCACAATTATCAAAGACCACACTAAATTAAAATCCAAAATTGAAGGATGCGTGCAATACTTTATCTAGGCAAAACACCACTAACAATTACGACAAAATAAAAAAAAACACTATTAACAATTAAAAATGAACATCACCTTTCAAATTTAAATCTGAACTCGGACCCATCACTATCAAAATTGAAGGAGATCGTCAAGCATATCAATCTTACGGTCGGCCATAGTTTGACATCAAAATCGAAAGCTCATATGCGACGAATTCGAGGCAATAATAGAGAGATTCGAGGAGAAAATTAGGCGAAGAAGATTTGAGAGAACGAATTGAAGGAAGGGAGGAGGAGAGTGTTTGGCGAGGAGAGAGATAGAACGAAGGAGAAAGGACAACGTTTGTAGGGAAGAGAGGAGATATGAGAAAGAGAGGGAAAGGAGAGATAGAGGAGAAGGTGGTTGCCAAAGTATTGAAAAGGGAGCATAAAACTCTAATAATAGCAATGTACTATATACTTAGAAAAAAAAAAAAATAGAGGAGGTGCTTGACGGGTCAACGGGTACCCGCCTAGCAGAAAGGGCGGTCTATGATCCGACCTGCTACACTTATTTATTAGTGGGTAGGGTATCCAACCCATTAATTTTGAAAAAATATGACAAATACCTGCTTGAAATTTACCGGGTCGGTAGGTCAGTGGGTCAGGTTAATCGGATTAGGTATTTTTGAACACCCTTACTACACCCTACAGTTGCCGCTACTCCACCACTTTTTCGCCGCTTGTTTGCTTCCCGGTGCCGCTCAAACCACCGACCTGCCACCACTGTCGGTCTTCTTCATTATTTCCTCTTCTCTCTCTTTTTCTTCAATCTTATAATCTAGTTTAAAAGCTTCAAAATTTTATGTTCTTAATTGAGATTATTATTCTTCATGGTTCTTGTTATAAAGATTATAAAGCATGCCAAATTATGATTTCATGACTCTTTATAGTTGAAATTTCAGATTTTTATTAATTAAGAAAACTAGGGTTTATTCCATGATTCTTCATGATTTTAGGTCAGGTTTTAAAACGTTTAATTAAGTTATCTAATTATATTATATTTATATAATGTTAAAGATTAATTATTATGATTCTAAATAAAATTTAGATTGTTAAAGCTTCAATTTTTGGGTTTAAATAACTAGGTGTATTAATTTCATGTTTTCGGGCATCTATTTTCATTAGACAATTTTTTTTGGGTATTTTGTGATTAGAAAGTATTGAACTTTGTGGTTTAATTTCAAGATTTAACATAATAAAGTATTAAAATTACAAAAAAAAAAAAGAGAATGTAATACTAGAAATAATTATAGGTATATTTATATTAGAAAGTTAAATTAATTAATATATAAATCTTAAATAATATCATAATAAAATAATAAAATTAAAAAGGGATCCCCGGGTCGGATTCGGATCTCAAAAATAGGATTTAGATTTGGATCCAGTCCATCAAAATAGATCGTTGGGTCCAAAAATTGGGGATTCAGATCATATAAAACGTATCTAGATCCATTAAATCCAAATACATTGCCACCTCTACTCTTGTATGAACTTTTTAGGCTTTTAGGCCAATAGTATTTACCTTATGTTTAGGGGCGTAGCCAGGATTTTAAATCCACTGGGTCAACCGACAAAAAATTTAAAACCAAAAATATATATCCAAAATGTACTTCAAAATCCAATATTCTGATTCCACTTAGTACTAACTAAGTAACATTAAAAATAATTCTATTTTAGTTGTACGCTACGAACTTTCAAACTAGCGAATTCATCAATCAAAGAGTCTAACTCCTTTTTTTTTTTTTTTTTTTTTTTTGCAAGCACCTTTTCAATGTACGCTACTAAAATGTCACTAAGAAAATCATCCTTCATTTGATTCCAAAGAGTAGTTTTGACAATGCTCATTACTGAAAATGCGCGTTCACATGTCGTCGTTGAGACTGGGATAGTTAAAATACGACGGATCAACCTATCAACAAGAGGATATGAAGTAGTAGCTTTTCTTGTGTTTGCCAATACCTTGATGAGTTGTGTTAAGGTGGACACATTTTGTAGCTTTGGGTTCCTCTGAACATCCAAGTAAAAATGTTCCAACTCGAAAGAAAGTCGACATTTCTCTTGAGTAGAGAAGTCCTCAGGGTAATGTTTGCTAACAAGGAGACATATCTTATCAACATCAAAGGACTTATATGTATCTTTAGGATCCAATGTTGAACTTAGCGAAAGAAGATCAACCATCTGCTTATTAAATCTATTATTAATTTCATGTAGTTGTGAATCAGTTGCGGCTATAAATAAATCAACTTGATAATGATGCTCCATTGTTATGTTAATCGGAAGACGAGATCGTCCTTTACCAGCAGTGTAAGGAGCTGTCATATCAGGGATTTCACACCATTTTTCTTACAAAATTATGCAACTTCAAGAAGTAAATCATTCCATCCATTGTCTTTGAAATTCTAGATCAATTCCTTTGTCGTTGAAACAAGACCCACGGCATTCACAATATCATGAGTACGACGTTGCAATGCTTGATAAAGATTATCACTTAGTGTCAATAATTTCTTCATTAGATGTAAGAGAGATACAAACTCATAAGACATTAATTGTATCAAAAGCTGCATCAGCTTTTGAACGTTGAGTTCGATTACCCTCTTCAATAATTTTGGAGAACTTTACCTGTAGCTTTATAGAGTCTATGCATGCTGATGATAGAGTTCAAATGAGATGACCATCGAGTGTCACCCGCACGTTGTAGGCTGCCTAGCTGATTAAGTCCTCTTCCAGTTTCAAACCCATCATCATTTGCAATTTTTTTTTATTAATTTATCATGTTGAGCAGCTTCTAACTCATCATGGCGTTTAGAAGATGCATCCACAAGATTAATAATGATAGCCAACTTGGTGACAAATTGTTTAATGGGGATCACTTCTCTAGTTGCAGCAACCAAGGTTAATTGTAGCCTATAAGTAAAACAGTGAATATAGTATGCATAACGAAATTTTTTCAACAACAAAGCTTTTAATCCGTTGAATTGCCCTCGCATATTTGATGCCCCATTATATCCTTGGCCACGTATGTTCTTCACATTCAAATTATGATAAGCTAAAGCATGATACAATGCTTGTAGCAAGGTCAATGACGATGTATTCTTCACATGAACAAGATCAAGAAAACGTTCTTTTAATACACCATTTTCATCAACAAATCTTAGAACAATTGCCATTTGTTCTAAAAGTGATATATCTGGTGATTCATCAAATATCACACAAAACTTTGCTTCTTCAATCTCTTTTCTTATATTTGAATGCACCTTACTTACAAATATATGCATTATCTCTTTTTGCATTGTGGGAGATATATATTGAGCATATCTTATAATGAAAATTATTTAAAGTTGGACTACACATACATGTATTATATTTATGATTCTAGGAAACATAAGTAACAACTTTGACTTATTCCAAAGCTCTTTGGCATCATCTAGTTAGTCCAGTATCATTGGTCATCAACGCCGGTCATTGGTTGTCGGCATTGGTCGTCAGTTATTAATGTCAGTGTCAACGATGGCATTGATCATGACGTCCATCATGGACCAAAAACGCCATTACACTGATCACAAATTAGTGATGATGGTTGCCACAGTGGTCGCGATGCTAGTAGGAATACTGGTCGCCAATATTAAATGTCGGTCGCGACGCAGGTTATGACAGAGATATTTGTCATGACAACTTGCTATGTCATTAGAACAATATAGTTCCTTAATTGTAGGAACTGGTGTAGTCTTTCCTTGATATTCTATTGATAGCCACACGAAAGTAGGATTTTCTTTCTTAATGAAGGAATATTTTCCAACCTCTTTTGACAACAGGATCGTAGACTCCAAGGTTGACTTCGTCATGCGTGGAATGCTACTTTGGTTTGTACCAAATTTGGCCATACCAATATTCCAAATAAGTACAATATTGTGAGAAACCTAAACAAGAATACATGCACTATATTGATGAGTAACATAATGTCACTCTAGGGATCTTAATTTGAGTGTTTTTGTAACTTTAGTAGTTTTTAGCTAATTTCTGCAATTTATGTGAGAACATATCATTTATGTGAGGACAAATCTCACATAAAGCTAATTTCGCTAGTTTGAAAGTTTGTAGGGTCGGGATTTGGTGAGAACCACCCTTTATGTGAGAACATATCATTTATGTGAGGACAAATCTCAACCATTAGATTAATGATATAAACATTCTCTAACAAACCTTCTCTAACAACCATACTTAACTGTTTTTAAGCTTCTGCTCTATTCTCTCTCCACCACGAAACTCCAATCTCTGCTCTGCTCTCTCTCCACCACGAAGCTTCAAGAATTTATCAATGGCGTCTTTTTAAACTCGACAATTTCTCTCTCCTCTTCTTGTTCACGAGTATCAATTTGCATAAATTATTGAGGTTTGTAATTCTTTTAGTTTTATAAATTTTGTAAATTCAATGATCTTAGTTTAATCTTAGCATCAAAATTTACAAAAAGTTTTTCAATTGCATGTTAATCTTAGTGTTTGAGAATTTCAAATTGTTCGTATTTGAGAATTTCAAATTGTTCGTTAAATTTTTTTGATAATTTTAGTTAAAAAATTCGATTATATTCGTTAAAATTCAATGAGAAATTTTCGAATTGAGTATTTAAGAACTGATAAATTGCTTGTTAATGTTAATATGTCCAATTGAATGAGCTCAATTTTCGATTTGAGTATTTCAGTTGAAGATTGTAAATTGAACATATAAAATTAAAATGAGCAAATACAAAAAAAAAAATGAGTAACTATAAAATGAGCAAAATAAGCTGTGTTGTTGTGGTACAATCGTTCTTGTGTTGTTATTTTAAATTTGAGCATCATTGTTGCATTCTTGTTATTGCTGCTAGTATAGTTAGTTTTGTTAGTGGTTTTGCTTCTTAGATTGAGCACTTATGTGTGTTCTGATTTCAGAAACTGGTTTCAGTTCTAATTTTAGATTCTGAAATTACTATGTGTGTGTGTGTGTGTGTGTGTGTAAGTGAGTGTCAGAGTGTATGTGTTAGAGTGTGTGTGTGTGTGTGTGTGTGTGTGTGTAAGAGTGTATGGATTTTGTAGGCAGCAACCTAGGAGATACATTGGTGGATTTGGAGTAATTAGCTTAATTTGAAGTCATCGTAATATTAGAAATTGTCCAAAAAAAGTGTGATTTCAATTATGAGTATCATTACTTTTTTTAGACAATTTCTGAAATTGATTTCAGTTCTAAATTAAGATTCTGAAATTATTTTGTGTGTGTGTGTGTTTCAATTGAAGGTATGTAAATTGAACATATATAATTAAAATGAGCAAAAAGAATTAAAATGAGCAAATACCAAAAAAAGAGCAACTATAAAATGAGCAAAGTACAATCGTTCTTGTGTTGTAAACCTACTAATATCCTTTTATTATCAATGTTGTTCTAAATATCACATAGACATATAATCACAAGGTTGTGAAACTGATTTATGCTTGAACTACTGATTTCTGAAACTGATTTAAGTTCTAATTTTAGATTCTGTGTTTGTGTGTGTGTGTGTGTGTGTGTGCGTGTGAGTGAGTGAGTGAGTGAGTGTAAGATTTATGCTCTAAGTAGTAATTAATATGGTTAAAAATATGATTCAGCAATATAGTGTTCTGATATGAGATTTTTAGTGAGCTTCTTGAAACTGTGGAACCAATAATACTCTGATGCACATATCATTGAATTATTTGATCATTTATCAAAGAATTATTTACTTATTTCACAAATAAACATTGATTTCCTTGGTTTGCTTGCCTCCACACAAGCCCCACCCCCTTCTTCTTGGTCAGTTTCCTGAACACCAACCACACTCCCTTCTTCCACTTCCCTATACAAACCTATACCCCCTGCCCCTCATCTTTCTGCATGCACTTCTGATTTCCTTGGTTTGCTTGCTTGCACACAAGCTCCAACACTTTCTTCTTGGTTTGTTTCCTGCACACCAACCACACTCCCTTCTTCCTCTTCCCTATACAAACCTATCCCCTTTGCCCCCTCATTATTCTGCTTGCACTTCTGATTTCTGAAACTGATTTCAGTTCTAATTTTACATAATGAAATTTTTTTGTGTGCATGTGTGTGTAAGTGTGTTTAAGGGGGTGCATATTCACTTGTTACTATTTTGTGGAATTGTTAATGACTTGTTATTTCTATTATATTTAATGTCAGAAATGATGAGTAACAACGAACAACTTGACAGTCATTCTAGTACCATTACAAATGTGCCAACTACTCCTACAATAGTAGTTTCTCCTAAAGTAGCACCTTTGCTCACTCCTGGAGAAACAAAAGAATGGCTTCCAATATGCCCCAATGAGTTGAAACCAGCTATAGCGATGAAGTTTAATAATCTTGAAGAGGGCCTTGAATTTTATAAAAGTTACGCATTTGCTGCTGGATTCAACACAAGAAAGTCTACAACTAAAAGACAAAGAAGAAGCAAAGAAATGAAATCACAATATATCTTATGCAATAAGGAAGGATACAAAGAGAAAAGAAAGGATATTGTTGAAAAAGATTTAAATAACAAGGAAGGAGAAAGCAATGAAGAAAAAGCTTCAATCAAAAGGAAGAGACTTGTTACCCGTGTTGGGTGTAAGGCACATGTTGTCATAAAGCATTGTGATGATAACAAATTCATAGCGTCACAATTTCATGAGGGACATACACATGCACTTTCTACACCTAGTTGCAGTCTTTTTCAAAAAGAAGGAAGGAAAATGAACATATTGCACAAAAAAATAATTGTGAATAATTCTAAGGTAACACTTTTAAAGTCTGTTATGTTTCATGAATAATCTATATGTTCTAATAAAAGTTGTTTGCTCATTTGACAAATGAGCAAATAATTATTTGCTCATTTGAAAATTGAGCATTATATTGTTTTTTCATTTGAAAAATGACCATTAAATTGTTTCCTCATTTTAAAAAGGAGCATTAAATTTTTGAGCATTGAATTATTTGTTCATTTGACAAACTGTTTTGTTCTTTAAATAGGTGAATATTGGTCTCGTTACAACTTTTCGAATGATGAAGGAAATTGTTGGATGTTATGATAACATTGGTGCATCTAAGCAAGATTTCAAAAAATTTCATAGAGATTTATAAGCATACATTCAAGGAAGTAATGTTCAAATGTTTGTGGATAACTTTACCAACAAAAAGCTAATGTGGAGCGTTTTTTTCTTTGATTTTGAGATGGGTGAAGATTATTGCCTTTGTAGAGCATTGTGGGCAGACTCCCTTTGTAAAAAGAGTTATGCTCTATTTGGTGATACGGTATCCGTTGATACCACATACCAAACCAACAGGTAATACATAATAATCACAATTCATTTTTATGTTATAACCATGGCTTAACTTAATAACTTTATAAAATTGTTTGCTAATTTCAATGTGAAAAGTGAATATCGCCTTAAGTATAATATTCTATAATAAGAGTTTGTATGTGGGCATTGAATTGCATGTTCATTTGACAAATGAGCACTGAATTATTTGCTCATTTGACAAATGAGCAAAGAATTGTTTGCTTATTTCACAAATGACCAATGAGTTATTTGCTCATTTGATAAAATGAGCATTAAATTATTTGCTTATTTGAAAAAAGAGCAAAGAATTGTTTGCTTATTTCACAAATGAGGATTGAGTTATTTGCTCATTTGACAAATGAGCAGTAAATTATTTGATCATTTGTCAAATGAGCATTGAATTATTTGGTCATTTAAAAGTATGTGTAAACAGGTACAACATGGTGTTTACTCCATTTACAGGGGTTGACCATCATAAGAGCTGCATTACTTTTGTTGCTGGTTTCATAGCAAAGGAAGATATTGTGTCATTTGAGTGGCTGTTCAGATCATTTGTCAAGGCAATGGGGGGGGGGAATGAACCTAATTGTATAATCACGGATCATGATCCAGCAATGAAAATTACTGTTGTAAGTGTGTTTAAGAAGACTGAACATCGGTTTTGTATGTGGCACATAATGAAAAAGTTACCAGATAAGGTGGAGAAATCAATCATGCAAGAAGAAACTGGTTTCCTAAAAAAATTATGTGCTTGTGTTTGGCATTTTGAAATTGAACCAGCTGAGTTTGAAGAAAGGTGGAACAAGGTGATGGTTGAATACAACTTACAAGAACATGAGTGGTTAGGTTATATGTACAAGATAAGGGAAAGTGGATTCCGGCGTATTTCAGAGATGTGTTCCTTGGAGGAATAATGCGTAGAACATCAAGATCTGAAAATGAAAACAACTTTTTCTGCTCCTTTATCAATCCTCATGTGTCACTTGTTGAGTTTTACTTGAGATATGAAGCTGCAATTGATGGCCCAAAGACACACTAAAGGTCAAAATGATAATGATTCAAAGCACAAATATCCTGAGTGCAAAACACCACTAGGGATACAAAAGCATGCTTCGCATTTATATACTAACTCTGTCTTTTATGAATTTCAATATGAAGTTGAAATTGCTTGTTTTTTGGGTTTGGAAAGCAAAAAGGTTTGAAACCATTCCTGACCAGTATATGCTACACAGATGGACTACTATGGCATTGAAGAAACCAATTTTTGACTTGGGAGGAAACCTGTTGGAGCAATGTGATAATATAATAGACAAGAAAAAACTGTTACATGATTTATGGTCAGAGATACACACTTGTGTAAGTTTGGCAGAAGGCAAAGATGAAGATATTCAAGACCTTGTGATAAATCTTCAAGGAATAAGAAAAGATTTGGAGGCTAAGAGGATTGCAAGAAATAATGGAACAACAGCCGGAAGTACAAACAAAAAAGAACAAGACATTGAGCTATTGATTGGCGCTAGTGTGCCAACTGAAATAATTGTTAAACCTCCAAAAATTTCAAAGAATAAAGGGACTGCAGTTTAGGTATCAAATGAAGAGACTTCAAAAAAGAAAGGGGCTGAGATTGATGTGTCAAATGTTGAAACAAGAGGTAGAAGTGAAAAAAGGCTGAAGGGAGAAAAAGAAAAGGCTGTAGAACAAAACCAGAAAAAGAAGAGATTATGCAAAGGTTGTGGTGAATTGAGTCATCATGATATTAGAAATTGTCCAAACAAAGTGTAATGATACTTTTATACAAATATAAAATTAATATTTTTATATAAATATAAGATTTAGCATTTTGTGTTTTTAATTTTGTTGAAATGAGCAAATAGTTAATTACTCATTTGTCAAATGAGCAAACATTTCTTTAATCATACATTAAATCAACAACCATTTCTTTGCTCATTTGTGAAATGAGTAAGCATTAGTTTGCTCATTTTTCAAATGAGCAAATAATTAGTTACTCATTTGAAAAATAAGGAAACATTTCTTTGCTCATTTAGCAAATGAGCAAATAGTTAGTTGCTCATTTGTCAAATCAGCAAATATTTATTTTATCATTTGGAAAATGAACAATTAACTTTTTGCTCATTTTGGCAAATGAACAATTAAGTTTTTGCTCATTTAAAAAATAAGCAAATAGTTAGTTACTCATTTGTCAAATGAGCAAATAGTTAATTAATTTAAAAAATGACCAACAGTTTAGTTAATAAGATCAACTTTTAGAAAATGATATCCATTACATTGACATAGCAAAAGTTATACTTAGAAAATCCTAAAAACATCATAAAAACATTTGATCAACTAACAACATTTTGTCACATTTGTCCCATTAAGAAAATCATAAAAACATTTGATCAACTAAGAACATTTGTCACATTTGTCCCATTAAGAACATCATAAAACTAACACTTCTATTGTTCTATACAAATCCTAAGAACATCATAACAATTGATCAACTTCAGTCTTCAATTCTCTCCGTTGAATGCTCTTGGATTGCTGCCCCTAGCTTTCTTCAGTATCACTTGCTTCCTTAGCCTTTTTTTTCTTTTGGACAATTTGTTTAACAGGGTTAATAGTATTTACTTCACTTGAAATAATTGAGAAGCTATACTTCAAACGAAGTTTTTCAATGATTATGACCTGCAAAGAGAAAAAATGAAGCAATAATTCAGGGTAAGTATAGGGTAAGTAATGGATTCATGCATGAATATCAACAAGCTGCTCACAAATTTTAACCTAAATTGCAATTAAAATAAAAAATGGATAAAAAGTGCAGTGGAGAGTACATGTAGTGGAGTTTCGTTCAGGGCTGATAAACTGGCAATAGCTGCCCGCAATTTAATACTATTGGTATGTTTTATTGGGATGCATATAGAAAAATCACAATAGAGCTCAAGGCTACTTTTAGATCATAGCCACATTTAATACTTATATGAGAGGAACATAGCCCGTAAGTTGCAACAACAAGCATGAAATGTGAAAAACTTACATTATTTTTCTTTAAACCTGAATTCCACTTTTGCAAACCCATATACGTTTCCATATGCCTCATCATTGCAACACCACAATGCAAATGATCATCATTTGAAGACTTCCAGGGTAAATCAATCAGTACAGACTCCATAGACTTGATCTGTTTTGACAAAACAACACTTTGTATACTTCCTTCACTATCCATGAAATATGAAAATGCACTTTTCTGAAAATGAACAAATAAATTAAAACAAGAACAAAAACAGGTAGAACAAATATAGTCAGAACAAGCAGAACAAGATCAAGATAAACAACTAAACTCTAATCATTTTTCTAAAATAATCTAACAAAATCTTGAGCCATACCAGATTTTTAAGAAATTTCTTGTTTTCTCTAGGACCTTCACTGTAATCAATAACCTCAATTGTACCACGCTCTGTGGTGGTGTTAAAACATACCAAATAATAATGATCGTTTTCAAATACTGGGAAAAAAAAAAGCTCAATATCTTTCTTTGGGATGATTGTTTTACTGAATTCCAATTCCACAACCTCACAAAACATTTTATTCCTTTCTTGAGCACAATCACTTTCGTATTGAAAAAGGCATTCCTAAAAAAATACATAAAGAAAAATACATAAATAAGATGAATATAATGAAAAGAGTAAATAAGAAATGAGCAAAGTGAATATGAAATAAGAAAAGTCATATAAAATGAGTAAATTGAATTTTTTTGACAAATGAGCAAGAAATTAACTGCTCATTTGGCAAATGAGCAAGAAATTAATTGCTCATTTGACAAATGAGCAAAAATTTAATTGCTCATTTGTCAAATGAGCAAATAATTAGTGACAGGAACAACAACTTTCTTTGGGATGTGCCCACCCCCATCATCAGCAAACTCAGATTCCCGAGAGCGTTTACCCAACTTGTCTTTCACCAAAGTAGGATCACTCCCACCTACACCCTTTCTAGCAATTATCTTCCAAGTACGAACACTTTTGTCACCACTAGTCTCCTGAACTGTGCCTATTTTTTAAATTGTGGACAAAGATTTAGTCTCCTGATCCTACTAAAAAATACTCACATTCACAACACTTGATGGTGTTTTCCCTTCCATTGAACCAGGTTCTGTAGTCATCTCAGCCACTACCACAATACTTTGCAAAGACAGATCCCATGAAAAAGTAGACATGAATAAATCAAAAGGAAGCATCACATCACACTCAGAGCTAGTTCAAAAGGGAACAAAAGAATCCAGCAAACGCAAGACAATACACTACAAAGTGCAAACAATCAACCATGACATGATTATGCCTTGAAGATAACTATAATAGGCAAATTTCTTAAATTAGTTCTGTATTTCAAATATGTTATCAAAAGATTTTATGTTATTTAGTTTCCAATAAGAGACTTAAATTAGTTCAGTATTTATTTTTTGCTCATTTGTCAAATGAGCAAGAATAATTTGACAAATGAGCATTGAATAGTTTGCTCATTTGACAAATAAGCAAAGAACTAATATTAGCTTTTGCAAATACAAAACAATATCTACATTCAAATATAAAAAATTATATGAAATGAGCAAAGTGAACATGAACAAAATAAAACAAAATAAAATGAACGAGTTGAACTTACAATTGCATTAAGACTGAAAAAGAAACGTCCACTAGAATTGATATCTCTATATTGCTCATTATAATTCAGAACAATAGACCATGCATTAATGATATCGCCATGAATTTTGTTCTGATTTTTTAGCATTTCAAGTTGAAATAGCATTACTTCACTATTAGGCTCACCCTCGCATAAAAACCCTGGATCACTACATATAAGATTTAGGGAAGGTAAAATAATTTCAATCGTAGATATGTAAAGTGAGAATATAGAGCTAGACTTGTTTTAAGAAAGAAAAATAAGGTCAGTTGCCAATTTCCAGAACTGAAAAATTGAATAAATACTTACAAACAATTTATCTTCTCATGAAAAAATGAATCCATAACACCTTTCTGAACTGTTGTTAATGGTGTATAAATGTTGATAATCCGAGACTTAAAAGGAGATCTTATCTGTAACGATGGTTGCACTTTATGCTTCTTCTTTACAACTCTCATTTTCAGCATCTCCTTTTCTCTTAAGCGCAATTGGATCTTCTTGAGCAGTCAGAGCATCAGCAATAGCAGCAACAGCTGATTTAGAAGCACCAACTTGTGCACCGACAGGAGCAACTACAGGTTCATCAGTAGGTGCAATGCTAGGGGACTTATCCTGAGAATCAGTTTCTTGAGAAGAGATTCCTAAGCTGAATGAAGGAGTTCCACATCCTTTGGCAACTGAACTTCTTAAACTACATCTGATACTTGACTCTCCAAGTTTTTTAAACACATGTTCAGCAACCCTAGGCTGTATGATAACAGATGGAGCTTCAACATCACATATATCACTTGCTATGTGAACACATTCAGCAGCAATCTTAGTAACATCAATTGGTTCTGATTCATTCAGATGACCAACCCTAACATTGATTGTAGATTCACCATGCTTGTCATTGCCTGAAATCTTTGAAAACCTATCCCAAGCTTCAATTACAGTTGGATCGCCAATACTGTTCATCTTGGCTAAATGAGAGAGGAATATCTTAAGTCAAAGCTTTAGAGCTCATCTTGTGCTCATCACAAATGCTTATTGCATCTTTCTTCAGCTTTTGAATCTTCTCATTGTTTGGAAAATACTTGACGACAACTTCATGTTTTTGACTGAAATCCATGTATGCCAAGACTAGATTTGTAGATGCTGTTGCAAGCTCCATAAGGCATTTCTGTAAAAAAAAAATACATAATAAGATGAATATAAATGAAAAAAGTAAATATTAAATGAGCAAAGTGAATATGAAATGAGCAAAGTGGATGTGAAATGAGCAAAGTCATATAAAAATGAGCAAATTAAACTACATATGAGCACTGAAGTTTTTGCTCATTTGACAAATGAGCAAAAAATTAATTGCTCATTTAGGATGTCCTCTGCTACTTGTCTTGTGGGTAAGATTTTTAGCAAAAAGGTTTATAACTAGTATCTTATGCTTATGGCTCATGATTAAATGATACAGGTTCCTTCCATGTTTCCAATTAAACCAACTAACAACCTAAATACAGGTTTCTGACTTCTATCATGTAATTCTTCAGGCATGTCATAATGTCAATATGAGTGATCAAACACTCAAAAATTTAAAAAATGAGCAAAGAATTAATATAAGTTTCCAGAAAACTCATATAAAATACCTTCTTTGGATCTTGTTCAGTTTCTTCGTTTTTTGTACGAATTGGATCAGATTGTTCCTAGAACCAAGCACAAAAAAAAAAAAAAAGAAAGTTAGAACAAGTTGAAAGCAAATATCCTAACAAATATAAACCAAAGCTTTCTTATAAGACATAACCAATTGTATAATTTGATTATCTGTCAAATGAGCAAAAAATTATTTGTTCATTTCAAAAATGAGCACGTAATTGCTTGCTTATTAGGAAATGAGCAAAAATTAGTTCAAAAATACTTTTTTGCTGATTTAAGAG